CTGGGCTGGCACTGGGGCATGTGATATTTGAGTTATGCGAAATGCAGCCTCTGTTGACTGTTGACCATTTGAATGTTGCAACAACGTTGGGATTTGCATTTCAGGTTTTTTTGAATTTGCTGTGACAGCCGTCGCTTAATAAATATGTGCAGCGAGGGCTGCGCGAATACTTGTGTGGTATTAGTTTTGCTTGTAAAAGATGCGTTAAAAAAAAGTTCGCTTATTTTTGGTTGGCAATGCTGATTTTACTTATTAAATAAATTGATGAAATTATAAACTTTTGTTATGTGCTTTTGATTTGATTTTTTTATATAAAAAAGATGAAATTTCGTAAAGAGCTTTACTGCTTATTTTTGTATTATTTTTCAAGCAACGGCTTATTAATATTTTATTATTTTTATTATTAATTTTGTGTTTTATTTATTTATTTTTTTATTATTATTCATTTATTATTTTATGGTATTTTATTATTTATTATTTGGTTTTTATCCTTTTATTTTAATTATTAATTTATTTTTGTTATTTTCTTATAATTTGTTTTATTATTATTTTTCTTTAATTTAAATGATGAATTTAAATGAATTTGCATTATAACTAATTTTATTTAAAATAAATTTTTGCTATTTTATCATAAAAAAATTTTTTTATATTGTTTATATGTGAAATATAAATCCAAACGCACATTTTTAAATTCTTTTCTTTGACTTCTTTTTTTGTTGCAATAATCATTTGGCTTGGGCAACTTGAGTTAAATCTTTTATATGTATTTCTAATTGAATTCCTTTTGAATTGAAATCTTAATAAAGAAATGCCACAATAGACATTTGAGCTATTGTTTGCTCTAAATTGATGTGTGGCTATGGAATAGATGATAAAATTTCTTTTGAGCTGCATACTTTCAAGGATATTTAATTATTGGCAAGCCATAAATACCATCCAGCCATTGTTTACTTTGAAAACATATTTGAATACCCTGGAAGGAGTACGAAATGTGCAAAGGGTATATTTGGTTGCTATAAGGATTTAGCCAAGTGTATCTACTCGTCTCTAGCTGTAGCTTTTACAGTATTGTCCATAAAGCAACAACTTTACCAACTCAACCCTAGGTCAATTTCGTATAGGATATCTTTTCATCAGCCAACAGATCCATAACTCTTTATTGCTTTTGTTTTTCTTTTGCACATATTTCACAGACCATTTTGTTGCTGTTTTCCTTATACAGCAGCTATTGTTGTGCTGCTCTTAAAATATATATTTACTTATGTATATTTTGTAAAGCAGAAGTACTACTACCTGTTTTATAGCGCAGCTGGTGTTGTTCTTGTTGTCCTTAGTGATTTAATGCCTGGGGCGCACTGGCTGTTGCATTGTGCAACTGTTGACGACACAATTTTTGCTTTATACTCGCTCTTTATACAAACACACAGACACATACACACACACACACACACACATAGTTAGTGACGATATAAAGGCAAAGATATTGCGCATACGCCACGTTGCAGCTTTATGTCCAATGTCTGTCTGTCTGTCATGTTGGCGCCGTCACAAAAGCTTTGAAGTTCCATAGATAAGCCGGGCAGAGTTTTGCCGTCTCGTTGTTGCCACGTTGTTGCTGCTCTTCCTCCTCCTGCTGCTGCTGCTGCTGCTGCTCCTCCTCCTCTTCCTCCTGCTGCTGCTGCTGCTGCAGTTGTGCTGCATAACTTGAGGCTAATGGCCGCCTACTGGACAATGCGCGCCGCTAAAAGGCATTGCAAGAAACGGTCCATAAACTTATGTCATAAGATGCCCCAGTGACTGTGGCAAGATGCTGTAAGCCAGCAGCGCAATCCATGGGATATACGCTTCTAACTCCAGGGTTGCGCCACACATGGCTGTGCGAAGCATAATAATAATAAAAACGATTTTTTTATATAATGTTCTAGAGTTTTTATGAATTATCCTTTAATACTATTATTTCAAGGACTCGTTTTTCCTTTCTTTAATATTAAACAAAGAGTTTCGCATTTGAATGTTTCCTCTTTGAGCTGAAATGACAGAATTAGATTTTATATCCGACAGCCCTGGTCCATGGGATGTCCTCAAACTATATTTGACTATCCCACACACACTCACAAATGGTCACACGCACGCACACACACATACACTTACATTTTAAGCGCATTTAATGCGCGCATAAATTATTCAGAGTGCCGCTGAAAAAGCCAGGACTCCACGCTGTGCAATACTCAATTATTTTAGATTAGGTTTGGATTAGTGGTCAGTGTATGTTAGCCAAGTGTAGCCGAGCTTTTGGCCATATGACTCGCCGCTTGGTTCAATGTACGCCTGGTTATTGCACTTTATGTGCCCGCTGAAACAATACCGCGAACCGAGTTCTGGCTTTTAGTTTTTGTACAACGTTACGTTTATTATAAATGGGATAAATGTGGGTATATGGGTTTGTGGGTTGAGCTTGACAGTATTAGGCATAAAGATTGTTGAGGCATCTGAGCGAATTGTGGCCATGCGATCAAGAAGAGCGGCACTTGTATTTGAGCTCATTTTTAATTTGACAGAGCGAGCATATTAGCGCACTCTATACTCTCTAATCACGGAGAAAGAATAGAAAAACTTTGAAATTGAAACTCGAGACGATTGGTCGTGTTTTGCTTCTGCTCCCAGAGAGCAAAAGCTGTGAATTGTGAATAAAACTAAAAGTAATAATGATGATGAGCTTAAGCAGAGATGATGATGAACCTGATTATAATATTTGTAGGAGGCTTCACTTAAATTATTTCGGCAGCTAATGCTTATAAACTTCTTCGATTTCTAATTAAAATTTCGCTTCGCTTCTTCCTCTTCTGCTTAAGCTATCGCGCTCACGCCAACTATCGACAGTATCAAAGCCATCGATATGGCTAAGTGTCGATAGATATACAAATAGTTGATCACAGTGCTATTCCCTCTAGTCTCTACTTCATTTCCTAAATATCGAACAGAAATCACACAGATTATGCTCTAAATCACTTCCCATAATCTATATCTCATAAAAGACCAAATACACTGAAACTAAACATGATTAATATATGTGTTTATTCAAGAGGTATCTTGCTAGTGCGTCACTCAATTCCAATGCTCTCAGTTATTCGAGTTCGATTGGTGGGGCGAGCGACAACGGTGGCTCCAATCAATGTTTAATTGACCCATTTAGCCATCAGGAGGAGCATAAATAACATTTAAGCAGTCGGCGTTGGTTTCTTGTCGCTGCTAAAAGCATTCGTTATTTATCCACAATGTGTCCCGGGCGAAGTCCTTGTGATGTCAGCCTATGCGTTTAATTTATATTAATGTTGTCATCGTCAGTGGCCCGTTCACTCACTCCCCCTACCCCCTATCCCTCTCTCTCTCTCTCTCTCTCTTTCTCTCTGTGTGTCTCCCCCATAAACCAGAACTGCAACTGTTTAGCTGGCTCATCTGCGTTGTTTGTGGAGCGGGCACAAATTAATTTACACTGCACGAAATCCCAGATGCCTAATAAAAATGTTATGCCATTAAATTGACGCGTTTACAACGGGCCAGCCAGCCAGCCATCCAGCCAGACGGACGGACCATGCTACATGATTATGATGAGCCGTTTAGCTGCTGTCTTTATGGCCATTCAATCAGTTTGCTGTTTATGCAAATGAATTGACAGTACAAATTGACAGTTTGATTAGAACAAATTTTTGCAAATTTCTTTTCGCTCTCTCTCTCTCTCTCTCTCTCTCTCTCTCTCTCTCTCTCTCTCTCCCTCTGTCTCTCGCTCTCTTAATTTATAAGCTGTTTGGCTAGATATTTTAAGCCATTTTAATAGGCTTGCCGCTCAATAGATATTTGATTGCTCTTTTAGGCTTTTAAAGATTTCCATACATATGTGGCTTATGCAAAGAGAATTTCTAGTTTCGACAAAAATCCCGATGATAAATTTCATGTGAAATGAAAAGTTTTAGCTTGCGGCTAGACCAACTGAAAATTCTTGGTTTATGGCTAGCATTTAGCTGACTAAAATGGCAAAATATTTTGTGAAAGGAAAACAATTTTGTACCTTGTGTGGGTTAGGCCAGGCGCAACATTTGTATCATTTCCAAATCCATAGCTAACCTCAATGACACGCTGATTAAATCAAATAACTTATGGCTTTGGCTCACTTAAAGCCCCCCAAATGGCAGCAGTCAGCAAACTAAAGTGAACTCGCTATGTGACTGTTGCTGTTGCTGTTGCTGCTGCTATTGTTGTTGTTGTTGCTGCTGCTGCTGCTGGTCAGCATTCAGCGCAGGAAATCAGCGTTGCCCAATCTGTGGCCAGTCGGTTGCTGCTGCTGTGGCGGGTACTTCATTGTCTATGAAATTTGCTCAACTGCAAGCCAAGCAGAAGGAAATTGCTCACACACACACACAAACACACAGATGGGGATATCTATGTATACATGTATGCGTGTATTTCTAAGGCGACTGGCATTGCCTTAGCATTTTTTCTGCTCGACTGCTGCTGCGATTGTTATTGTTGTTTTGCTGGCTCTAGCAGCTGCCATTTTGTTTTGGGCCATACACTTGAGAGCGTTAGCTATACATATATCAGTGAGTGTGTGTGTATGTGTGTGTGTGTGTGTGTTTGTGCGCGTCCATTGTTGTAAGTATCTTTTGTTTCAATTGCTTTGCTTGCGGCCCAGCGCAGATTTGAGCTCAACTCTCGTTGGCCAGCGCCATCGCCATCGCCAGGCATTTCAGCCATAGCTGCTCCCAGCGGACCCACAGTTGTGCCCCCCATTTGAAGCTGCTTTATTGCAATTGATTTTGACACCGCTCTTTATGTGCGCCGCAATCTGCCAGCTTAATATGACCTAAGCATCGTGTACATGTGCCACATCGATAAGTCCAAGATATGCTTTTATCCATTTTCTTTTCATTTCGTTTTTTCAGATTCTCTCTTGAATTTAATCTTTAACTGTTTTTCTCTATTTTATTTCGATATCATTGCAGCTACGTCCATGGCATTGGCTCGGAAACGCGCAACTCGCTCTTCCATTTGCATAATGGACGCGATATGGTTATGGTGACCACATGCAAGCACGGCAAGAGCTGGCGCGAACTGCAGGATAATCGCTGTGACGAGGATAATCGCGAGTATGATAGGTAAGTGGGCACATCATTAGCATAAATGCGTCGACCAAAAATTGTTTTCCAGCTGTCATTGGGTCCAAATGTAATTTGTTTAGTTGCTGCGTGCTAATAGCAGTTGCCACACCCATCGAAAAACCCGCCCCAAACAGCCAGCGAGTAGCTTCCTTCCCATTCCCCACCTCCCCTCCAGCCATGTGATTAATGTTCAAAAATCCAACTTGACAAGCTCATTTAAATGGCACGACACCTCAGTCGGCTGGCAGCATTTACAGCGCGAACGATTGCCTTTTATGTAGCATCTGTCCAGTTGCGTGAACTTTAAGGTTTAACACGGCTAAACATTTTAATCAAGCCGATTGCTTTATTTCGAAATATTTATCAAATGACAACAGAAATTAATCTGAATTGAAAGTGGAATAAATTGGCAAAGATAATATAATATGTAAAATTATTTTGAGAGTAATTAATATAAATATAATTATATTTAACACTAGCTCGAATTATGAAAACTTTTAATCAAGAGAGATTGGTTTATGTGTATACT